ATTTTGTTATAAATTTCTTCAATTTATTTTTTAAATTCATCATCACTATAGAAATTGCTTTTTATAAAAGTAATTATGTATTCTGATAGCGCTTGAAATTCTCTATCATCCTATATATTTATGTCTTGTCTTGCATTTATTTACTGAAAAACAATTTGAGTACAGTGAAGGTGCCCCCAATTAACAAGTTTTTTCACACCATCTGTACTAAAAGATTTTTTTACAGGCCACGAGAAAGAGCACATTCAGAAGTACAAAAAGAACTGACTTCTCACGTTTGCAACCCTTTTGTACGGAAATAATAACAATAGAAAAAGGTTCAAGTGGAAAAAAATAACAAATTTTCAAAGTTTTTATTTTTTTCGTCTTTCGCATAATCTGCGTAGTTTTCTTGATTGAAGCTCTAAAATTAAAGTTTGGATATGGTATTGTAGAGCATTTCACGGGGCATCTTTTTGAAAAAAAACATTAACCTTTGGGTCTTAAAGAAACACGAGAAAAATAGAAAATATCGAGAGGCCACACCCGTTACAATTTCCGGGAATCTGACGGTAAGGAGGCCGTCATTACACTCAATTTATTTTTCGGCAAATAAATGTAAAACAAGACATAGAGATACAGGGTGATAGAGAACTTCGAGCGCTTTCAGAATATATAATTACTTTTTTAAAATATATTTTTATAGTGATGATATATTAAAAAAGATCGAGTGCAACTATTTTTTTCCGGGCGGATATATATCCTTAAAGTTTATTAATTTATAAAAATGTCAACATCAAACTGGACTCTATTAAATGTAGTAAATTTACTTGATGATGTTAAAGCTGTTGCTAAATCACATGGTGTATGTCAATATCGAACAAATAATCTTAAGGATCATACAAAATACTTTTGTACCGTTCTATTATATTAACTCTTTCACTGGCAGCCGGATATTCAAATTTCATGTCCTATGGCAGGCAACCCTAAGCAAAATTTCCAAAACGCACCTTGCAACATTTTATTTTACTGTAAAAACCCTGTTGCACACAGCAATTTCAGGTTTTGATCACGCAAAAATAAATAATCAGGTAATATTTTGCAGTATAAATTTTACCTTGTGCTTTAGTAAAGCTTTATTGAAAAATGGAGTTTTGCAAAGACCTACTCTACATCGTTCACACATTACAGTGGTCTCCTTTCTCCTCTTGTGTCGCGCACACACACACGGCACTTGCTTTTTCGATTAGTCTTCGTTTTAGTTGGAGGAACACGCACTAGTTTATGCGATTTGAATCCTCCTATGAGACAAGAATCTGGATCCACAACACGAGGTCTCCTTTAAACTCCGCTGATGCTTGGTTGCTGGTCATATCTTCAGTTTATTCTTGTTCATCATTTGATGCCATGGCTTTCAGACAGTCCAAAAGGAAACATAAGTAATTATAGCTTTTATTTATTATATAATCATCTGAAAAGTTTTTATATCGTACAGAATCCTTTACGTATCATTCGATAGAACTTTTAAAGCTCTACAGATATACATCAAAGGAAATGGGTTAGAGTATCATGCTAAAAAGTTAAACAACATACATAAGTATCATTTGCCCTGGACAGAATATTCTATTAACTACTCAACAAAGGAGATAGTCAAAGTATGAGATGAGAGAAGCCAAAAATAAAATAACTACGAGGGGTTATATGTATAGGGCATATAGTGGAAAGACAGTAGAACAAATAAAAAAGATTAGAAATAATCTCTGCAGTATACAACGGTTATACAGTTACGCAAAGCGTCAAAAGGCGCCGACGCCAATCAACGTTTGAAAACTGCTTGACGTCAAAAGGCGCCCACGCCAGTCAAAGAGTTAATGATGTTAACGATTTGTTTGTTATCTTTACTACGAAACGCTTAATTAAAAAAATTCAATCAACTCCACTATCGCACGTTGATGCTATGTACAAGTTAACGTGGAATGAATTACCACTCTTGGTACTTGATGCATCCGATGGTAACAGACATTTTCACCCGTTCGGTGTTGCACTTGTTTCCGATGATGAGAGTTTATCGTGTTATGAACATCTGTTGATGTCACTCCAATTATTAAATATTCAAGAGTTACATCAACCGTACTGGATTCATAATGGCTGATGGAGTATTATGTATGCAGGTATGAGCAGAAAAACAGTGGTTCCATGCTAACTTTCTGTCTTTTTTAAGGAATTACTTCTGCTCAACAAAAAATATTTCCACAAGCAAGACGACTTATGTGTTGGTTTCATATGATAAAAAAACGTCGTGAATATGGAAATCTAGTGACTAAACAACATTAGAATGAAATCATTAAAGAGATGCATGCTGTACAATTGAGTTTTAACGACGAAGTATTTAATCATGGAATGAATCTTCTAATGACTAAATGGCGTTCTGATGCACCGTTGTCTAAGTTTTGTGATTATTTTTATGATCAATGGATCGGGAAATTGCCATACTGGTAATAGAACTTTGGGAGTTCTGTAACTCTATTTAATGTTCTTTTCATAATTTTCTCTACTTGAAAACTCTGGTTGCATCAGTGTTCTCGAAGAAAAATCCGAGTTAAGCATGATGCAATCGACGGGAAATGTAATATATGGATATGCAGATAGGTATGAAGGGTATGCGCTAAATATACCATCCACAAACAACGGTTATGAATTCACACTGTAAAAAATAAAGTGTGTCCGCTAGTGTGCATTTCGAGTTCAAAGTTTTGTCGTTATGTAATTGGAATTTTTATCTTGCGTTTCTCTATTGAAAAAAAGCGGAAGTATTATTTTTCTCTTCGATCTTTTTCTCGTTCTGTCTACGGAAAACGGCTTGTTCAGTGTGCAAAAACAGTCCAACGTGATGTGCAAATTCAGTGTGTCCCGGACACACTTTATTTTTTACAGTGCATGAATGCTAAAATCAAACAGCAGTAACTCAATCAATTACATCTGTCGTCATTTCTTCCAAAGATTGAGTCCATGTTGGGTGAGTGATCGAAGCATTGTGAAACCAATCCATTTTCTGTTTGCATGTCCATTATATCCAATTGCGAACTAGCTGGTTATAAATGGGCTACAATGATTGATCGTAACAGTATTCTTTACTGACACGGCGATTTTTATGTTGTACCATCATCAAACGCCCAAATAACACCGTCGGCTTGGTTAGATATTTATCGTTCTTGTTAGTGGCTCACATTTAATGATTTTTTAGTGTGACAACAATCGTGTTGACTAATTGCACTATTACAATTATGTAGCTGTCCCGTTGGCATGAAACAATATTCATGAAAACATTCTGTTGTATTAGCAGTTTTATTTAACGTATATCAAGTTAGTGATAAAACACGGATTCAACTATTAGGCAAACGAAAAGCAAAAGAACGTCTCAAGAAAGTTAGCACAGCTTCAAATTTGTGAATAGACGTAAATACAACTGTAAAATATTGTCTTTAGTTAATATTTGGTTAATATGTTGTTATATTTGTACATTACACTCTGTTGAAAAATAAAAATGTAAAATGATTTGGTGATCAAAAGTATCTTTTTTTGGCGATCAAAAAAAACTGTCACTCAAAGAGCGGCATAGGAAAAATAAAATGTTTATAACTACTACGACAAACTTTTAAAAAATCTAATAAATGTTTTTTCAAGCAGTTTTATACTTCTTAATGATTGCTTTACTTCGTTTTACAGGGTTACGTTTGGAATAAAGGTGAACATAATCTAGCTCTTAAACATTATTAAAGACCATTTCTTATTTCTTGATAATTGAGTAACGTTTATGTTTGCATCAACGACAACAATCACTTTCTGCAACATTATTCTAACATACATCACAATTATTCACAACTGTTACTTGATATTATTCGATATACATCATCATTATTTACAATTAGTGTCATCAATATATTGCTAGAGGAAGACGTTTTTATAAATGTGTAGAGGAACATAAGATAATCAGCATAAATGGTTTCTGATAGTTGCGAGAAATTTTTTCTTGTTCTTTCCTACCATAACCGATCTTCGATGAACCTCAATCTTTATGAGTAGATTTCACAACACGAATAAAAGCATTGCCAAAATGTAAAAATATATATTGCTGAAGAACTCATATCAACAACCCAGTGTTTAATAATAAATCCATTTATTTTTTATCCTTGATTACTTAAAACGACGAAAACAAGCAAGTACATGTAATTATCGAAAAGACATGCGTTAAAAAGCAAAAAGAATGAAAACAACGCTACGCGTAACCATGCATTCTGTTCTTATGAAAATATGTGAAGAAAAAAAAAATTCAGTTTACTGGACAAAAAAAATCAAAACTATTATCTCATTCATGGTATTTTTCATTTTTTATCAGAGTAAAAATAGATTTTTCGTTATAATATGGAAGTTCGACGTAGACGAGCCATCTTCATAACCTTTCTAGATCTAGTAAAATCATACCACAAGAATTCATAAGATTTCGTACGATCCTACAAGATTTTACGGGATTCAGATTTTTTTTCTTCCTAGAATATTATATTTTATTCTATACTCTTTTATATTATTTCTTTTTTTAATACTTTCTATCATATAGGTAGGTCTTAGAGCTACGTTTGGTCACGTTGTTTAGCTATAAGTTCGTTATTTTCTGCTTATCTATTGTGTGAAATTGAAGAAAGAAAAAGAAATTCTGTTTTATCCTCTATATCGATGTCATGATAGTCGATTGACTGTATATCGTAACAAAATTTACGTAATACGATGAATCATCCATCTATTGATAAAAAAATCATACACCTCTTCTAAGAGATTGTAAGAATTGTGCAGAAAGTTTCCGAAAGAAAATAACAAATCTTGTTAAATGCATTTTATCCGACTAAGATGGATAAACAAAATAAAAGTAGCTAGGGTTTGACGTAGATTTGGAGTCGCGTGTGTATCGCTATACAACTTATATAAATTTGAATTTCAGATACATTCTATTACATACAAATTGAGCAATGGGAAATATATTACATCGAAAACATGGTGAACATTATCTAAAATTAAATGATGAGATGATTACCCGAGCAAAAATGACAACAAATTTTAACGAAACAGAAATCAATGAATATCATCACAAATTTTTCTCGATAGCAAGTGATGGAAAATTAAAAAAATCATTATTAAATGATATTTTAGGTGATTATTTGCCGGGTGATAAGAAATCACGTTCAAAATATCTATCCGATTCGATATTTAAAGCGATTGATCAAGATGATAATGGATATATGGACTTCTTTGAATATTTATATGCACTGAAATTTTTAACAACAGAAAGTCCAATTGAAAAAGCTGAATTTATATACAAAATATTAGATAGAAATGGTGATAAAATTGTTACACAAAAAGAAATTTATCGTATTTTAAAATCTTTAGAATCGTATCATCAATCAATTAATGGTAATAATAGTAATGTAAATGAAATAACTGCTAATGGATCAAAGCAAGCAGCAAATGTTATTCTAGAAAAATTGGATGAAGATAAATCTGGTAGTATTACACCATCAGAATTCATGGATGGATATTTAAAAGATGATACTATTCGTGCTTTATTTGCTCTTTAATACTGCGATTATCGGATTATTATTTCCATGACATTTTTTATCTAGGTGCGTGTTAAAATAAAATAAAGGGGTTGACACATTAGAGGACCGGGTCTTCTATTACGGTTTAACGCACATAACTTTTAGAGGGGTCTTTTATTGTGTCTTAAAAAAACTGTCTTTTTGGCTGAAATAGCTCGATTTAGTGTTAGTATAATATGCACTGTTGTTTTCAGCTGATTCTGATGGCTTTTATTCATTTTTTTATCCAGTTTCAATCAAACTGTGAGTGTAACTCATATTTCATTTACAGAAAAAGTCATTTAACAACATTATCTTAAGATAACGTCAAGTAAAGACGCATTCTCTTATCGCTTTAGAAGTAATTATTTTAGCAAAAGAAATTTTTTGAAAATGTTGATAGGAGTGAGCATAGTGGAGAGAGAGATAAGAGAAATTCTTCTTTATCATATCATATATACTCACATCACATCTTATCATCTCATCTCTCAACACTAAAGGAATGCAGGTGCACACTGTCTTTTCTTTTCGTCTATTAGCTGTAGCTGTAAGTTCATTCAAACAGACCAAGGGAAAAAATAGTATGTTATTGAACACAAGAATCATCACATTTTCAGACCGAAAAATCGATAATAAAAAAGGGGATCTTCTAAGGTGATTTTTGAGTTAGGAGTTCAAGAAGGGTCTTCTAATGTGTAACCCCCTTTACGCGCTTTTTATTAAAAGTATTACATAACGCTTCATATTCTAACTCATTTTATTGTTTTATTTACAGTAACTGAAATATGTAATCAGGTGCACAAAGCAGTGATTTTGAAAACTGAAGGAAAGAGAGAAAAAATTGAAGCATAGTATAGTAAATAATTAATCTGCTGGAATTTATTCATATATGTACTGTTCTTTTCAATGCTTTGTAGAAACAATCGACTAGTGGAAAATATTTGAAGTAGACCGAATTATTCAGATGCCAAAGAGCAATTTTAGACCAGTTTAAAGCGTTTATATCGAGAAAAGCCTGATTATTTATTATACCTAGTTAAAATTTCAAGATCATATTCACAAACAGATAATCGAAAAAGATCAAAAAAATGAGAAAGTAAAGTTTGAGATATGTGCATCAGAAACCCTATCCAGTTTGATATTTACTTTATTTTAATAGGTAACAGAACTACCTAATCTAAACATACGATTTTAAAAAAAGAGAATACAAAGAAAAAGTAGAAACAATAAAATGCAGAAAACTGTTAACGTTTTCTTCACTTAATGAATTTTTTTCCCTCGTCTTTAGGATGAGATATAAAGTGTTGCAGGTCGCTTACTTTTCATTTTTTTTAACAAAAAAATTTATTATTTAAGTATATATGTCAACATTTCAAACATTTTTTAACATCATACATAGGATACAAAAATCTTTTGTCGTTAACAAAATTGTTAACGTTTTCTCTAATAGTTACAAAAGACTGTTTTCTGCCCTATGTATGATGTTAAAAAATGTTTGAAATGACACACACACACACACACACATACTTGAACTACTACTATTTTTTTGTTTAAAAAAATGAACATTAGGCGACTTGCAACACTTTATATCTCATGCCCCTAAAGACGACGAAAAAAAATCTGTTAGTTTTGCTTAATTCAGTCAGCTGGCTCGAATGTCAAAATTGATGAAAAATAATCTATTTTTGACCCTTCATTAATCGCTCTATGATGTACTAATCAAAGAGACGTTTCAATATGTTGAAATATCATCTGTTTAACAAAAAGGTTTTTCGACCTTTGACGGTCTTCCTGGGGAAGTGAAAAGAAGTCGAAATTTTTTTTATTAAACAGATAGTATCATTCGACCCAGCTGACTGAATTAACCAAAACTAACAGATTTTCTTTTCCTCGTCTTTAGGACCGAGATGGGCAACTATAACTCCGGAGTTGAGCTTCTTTTTAGCGAAGTTCAGTTGGAGTTGCGTTTTTATTAGATTAGAGTTCAATTCAGTTCAGATTTTTCCAACTCCAACTCCACAACTCCAGTTAAAAATGTTTTCCTATTCTTTTTGTTACACCGGTAGAGAGAGTTTTTTCACAGAGTGGTTTTCTTTTCCGATCTTATCGATGTAAAATAGCAAAAAATACGCTTTCAAAATTAACATTGTTGAAATGCAGATTTGAATTCTTAAAAAAATAACGAAATATCGATGAAACAGTAATAATAACAAAAATGATCCCAAAAAAGTCAATAGTCAGAATAACAGTAACCAGTTTTGAATATAAATAAAAAATAAAGGCCTAAGACAAAAAAAGAAATCCACTTTTCTCTCAGAAAAACAAAGAACTATCTTAGCGTAGTAATTGTTCGACCTTATATTGTGAATAAAATAAAATGAGACCATTTTACCACGTAAGTTTTCAAAAAACTAATCAACAAAGATCAGTGTGCACGACATGGTCTCAAACTGGAAGTTCTGTATGTTTTTAGTGTTAAATCATCGAAATTGTCCAGGCATAATTGATGATGAACTAATGATTTTAATAATGACTTGTTTAAGCGAAGAGATGATACGACGTTGAACAAGAGACAGTATCGTATGAGAATCGTAACTACTGTTTTTGTCATCTGCATATTAGAAAAAGTCATTATAGTTTGGTATTGAATCATCAACGTTCAATTCAGTATTTTCTTTATTTTCATTTTCTTCTCCTTCATTCATTTCTGATATTTTTCGCTTTTTGAATACTATTCCTTCACTTGTTTCACTAACTTGTATCATAATGGGCTCAAATATTGTCTTGAGTAACTGTAAATTCTTTTCAAAAACATTAATTTATTTCGTTTTATTTGTGAAAAAATATTTGGGTAGTTAATGAAGTTGAGTAAAGCTGGCAATGAAGTCCAATCGTTACCGTGCAATGAACAACAAGAGTAATTTCTACTAATACGTAAACGTTTTCCCTTTGATTACGCACAAAATTCTTGAGAAAATCGAAAATTATTCAGTATAGCATGACTTTATTTTATTCAAAAGAATAATGTGTATATGTATAAATAAAACAAACTAATAGGTATTTACAATGATAAAAGGTATCCAAAAAAACATTTTTTCCACCAACAAAAAATAAATCAATGAACAAATAATATCAGGCCGAAAGATGACAGTTTAAGCATTTTGGTTAACAAAAAAATTCTAAGCATAGTTCGAAAGATGCGACCAAATAAAATACATCCTGTAAGACTTAGTACATTGATAGATATTCTCACTCAATGCGACATCGTATATAGACGGTATTTAGTCAATAATGCTCATCCTACTTGAAATAATAGAAAGAACGATTCTTACACGATATTCTCTCTGGTTCAAAATCGAATCATTTCTCACTTAAATAATTCTTTTTGTCTAATATCATATGTCACTAGTTTGACCGTTATTTATAAATTAAACTTTTAATCTGATCAAGATGAATCATCATCAGCTTCATTGTAATCACCAGATACAAGTGACACGTGAGTTCTTTCTTTAGCGGATATTGTGTCATTACTATTATTATTAGTATTCTCTGGCGATAATGGTAATTGTTTTGCTTTATTATCACAATTACGTATAATTCCAAATCTACTTGACAAATTTTTTTTATTATTTGTGAATGTTGAAGGTTCCCAGGTGATTTCTGTATTACACGTCGATGTTCCTTTCAATATTTGTTGATTTTCAATTTTAGTACGTCGTTCAATTTCACTTTCTTCAGCAGCTAAACAATAAAGTAAACAAAATGGTATTAGATGAGAAGTTTCTTGTACTCGTAGAAAATGCAGCTAGTATTGAATAAGTGACAAGCCTATCATTTCCCGTCTAGTTACGAGGTGAGAAAGAGTAATTAGTAATCGCTTTCAGGGTTGTATAAAATCTACGATTCGAAAAAAATCTCGGAAAACTAGAAAAGTCAGAAGACAGAGAAGTGAAATTGGAAGACTCAGTTTTCAAAATAACTCAAAAACAGATAACTTTTTTGTCAAATGTAAATATTTTTCTTTATTTTTCTAAGAGAAAAATCTTATAAAAAATTAACTACAATTTAGGCGGTAATTATTAGTTTTACATTCTTTTTAAAAATAAAAGCACTTTAGCATTAAGCCTTTCTAGAGACGTTTTGTGTTTTCACCGTATATGATGTAGATGTAAAGGAGAAAAGATTTAATTTGTGTATGTGTGTGTCATGTTTGGTTTAGCATCTTTTTACAAATATATCCTTTTTATAAAAAAAACATTCAACATCGGAAAATCAAAAACTAGTCGTTAAAAAAGTTCAGAATCGGAAAAATTTCAGTAAATCGTGTTAGTAACTCTGCTCTTCTGTGAGAGCAATTCTAGTGTTCAAATTGCAACTCCATCTGATTTGGGCGTAGGATTATACTTATTTATTCGAAAACGTGTGCCATTCCTCTTTTTGACATATCAATAAGCAAAATATCCTAAATTTTGACTTAATGCCGAGCATATTACAAGTATTGTAGCGTCCGGATATTTTTGCAAAGACTTAACTCCAATCAACAAACAGATTGTGGTAGATATAAGGTGGTTCTAAAAGCTTCATCTTTTGCATTACAGTCAACCCAGACAATGGAGAGTGAATTCTTAGCTATACTTTGACAACGGTAGGCATCAATACCTCGTAGGACTCTACGATATTTGTAAACAAACAACTATTAGGTTTTCAATCATTTAGCATAGAGTAAAATGGCGTCTATCGAAGAGAAATAGCTTTGCTTACTCTTCACTGGTGCTAATTTATATAGTTGACTTAAACGGTCATCTTCTCTACTAGCTGGAACTAATGGAATGCTTAATGATGCTTTTTTCAATAATATATCATCTTTTTCTTTCTGTAATTTTGCATGCTTTTTGGTTGCCTAAGAACAAAACTCTAACAATAAAAAATGACAGTAAATATTCATTTAAATCTTACTCTAAGTTCTTTTCTTAATACATAATTAATAGCATAATCATCTTTCCATACTAACTGATGTTCTTCTAATGCATTGATATCTGGCGCAGTTTTAGCTGTCTTTGTTTGATCTTTATTGTCATGTTCCAATTTAAACATTGCATCCGTTGCCAATTTTTTCATTTCAGCTGTTGCTACAAAGACAAGAAATTCTTGGTGATTCCCAACAATATACAAAACAACAAAAGAATAGACGTACATTCCACAACGATTTGTCCATTCTGTGAAGCATCCCACCGTTGTTCTTCACGTCTAGCACCGCTGACAATGATATAATCACGTGCCTAAATAATAAATAAATATGTACTTCAATTTTAAAGAAACAAACAAAACGCTCACTTTTGGATCTGTTTTTATTTCAAAATGATTATCACATAAATGACATTTCATACGAAATTGCCATAATGGTGTTGTATAATAATTTCCAATTTTTGTCTTTTCGGCATTATAACGTACACCCATTCCAATATGATTACCACAACCATTGCACCAAATATTGTAGGGCATTTCAAATCTATACATCGGAGAAAAAAATTACCAATTAGTTAATGAAATACTACGTACGATGACATACCGTATGATAAGAATACCCATATGCAATTTTCTTGCACGCTCTCGTAATGCATGAGTTCCTTGATATTGATTAAGTGAACTATGTTTACGCCAGTCGAAATCTGGTGGATAATATTTATTTTGACCTTTACGTTCACCCTATAAAAAAGGAACAGAGTGAAAACATTGGAGCGTTTCATAACAGCTCAAAAGTAAACAAATTGTGGAAAACTCTTAGTTTTAATTGAACATCCGTACTTTTTTTAACAGAGTTTATAATTGAAAGAGTTTGCTCTGCCTTGTGACTTTCTGAGATATATGAGTTTGCTGACTTGCAACCAGTGATGTTGCTATGTTTTACTCCTGTACTCATGCGATTTTTTCACTAAAGATGATTTCCTTACATTGAAATGTGTTGATCAGATCAATCGATAATCGTAACTCAAAAAGTTTTCACACAGATTTCTTCGAAGAAATCAAAGATAAATTTCAGATTGTGACCGGTACGCAAAAGACTACTCTGGAGTTTATTCACTTACCATTTTTTGTAGCTGTTAAGGTGGTATAAATTGACAACTCGTGGTATCAACAATTATTTAAATATCTATAAGGAAAGGAACGAAAACTAAAAGTATGCATGAAGTTTATTAAATTTTTGGTCAAAAAGAATGAGATCCACATGACGGAAAGTTATTTTCATCATTGCTAGTGTTTTACGGTAACCTTTATTAACTGGAAGATACAACTTTTACCATGCTGAATTTTTGTATTTTTGAGCTTTTCTGAACAGAAGCAGGTGTGCATATGGTCTCTCTCAACTCTTTGTGCAGAATGAAGCAGAAAAATGCTCTTTCATTTAGTATATTGCGCACGTACTACCGTTGTGCATTCAAATATGGATCAGATAACCGGTTCCCCTCAATATATCTCTCTGTCGTTACCATAAGTGCCTATTTCTGTTCGCAAACTATTATACAGAAATATGGTTTATGATACGGTAACATCATAAATCTTCGAACTGTAATGAACCATGAAACAACTCTATGACGTACATATACTTGAATTTGTATTAATTTGATTTAATTTACGCAATCTTCGTGACAGATTTTGTTGAATGAAAAAGAGTTTGAATGTGTTTTTTTGCGACAAAATGCACGTTTGTCTGAGACCGACAGATTTGAACAGTGATATGAGAGGAACAGCTCGTTCATAACCTACGATCCATAAGTAATTGGGCAAATGTCAAGCATTATTTCTGCATATTAATAACAGAATAAACTTTTTTTCAGTTGGAAAGAGCGAAGTCTGATGTTCAAAAAACATAGGAAACAAGATTTGTGTGAGTTTGAGCGAGAAAAAATTTATATCTCATGCATTACTAAAAAAGCTCGTGTAAAGTGCATTTTTATTTATCATTGACTAAAAAGATGATCGTAGAGAATTAAATGCAGCTTCAGAAAATGTGTTTTAGAAAATGAAAGAGATGTGTTCAGCATGCGAAAATGAACGATTATGGCTGGGTAACTGTTTTTTTGAAACTGATAAAAAAATCGGCAAGGTTTGGTTGAAAAGTGCATCAAAACATGCTTTATCACTCCCACTCGAAAAAGACATAAAAACGTTCGATAATTACATAATTTCAAATGTATTCTGTTATGAGAAAAAAAGCGCTTGATGAGAAAGAGACTTTTCATTTTTTCTCGCTCAAACTCAATCACAAAAACGTGTTTCCTATGTTTTTATAAACGTCAAACTTTGCTCTTTCCAACTGAAAAAGATCATACTCTGTTGGAAACAATCAGAAATAATACTTGACATTTGACCAATTACTTTTGAACCGTAGGTTATACAAGTATCAACAGATTAAACTTCTCTAATCGGATAGTATCTATTCGTTGTCTGATAAAGCCACTTAATAGTGAACACTACGCCTGTTATACTAAAAAAAACTCGCTGTGATTACAGTTGTTCGTCTCTTTTTCGTCTAATAATGGTTCAATTTCTTTATAAAATTAGAATATTTTAATATCATGAATATCAAAACACCCAATCACAAATCTTTCGTCGAAGAAAAATTTTTCTGGTAACTATACAGACAAAAGGAGCTCTGATACAAACTATTACTAAACGCTGAACAGGTTGAACAAGTATTCGATTGTTTTTGCTTGCGTTTTGTAAATAAAATATTTGTATACAAAAAGAAAACAAGAGAGACAGTCCTTAACCAAGTCAAGGCTGTTTAGTTTATCAAGTGTTTGGTAAGAAAGGACTAATCGCAACTAATAAAAAACTAAAAACTCATTAAACAACGTAAAGAATTATCCTCAACGCTATTTATATATAGATCGGAATCTTAACAAGTTACGCATTTTACGGAGAAATTGTAGACGTAGCGGGGCAAAAAATGACGCCAGAGTATTCCAATACGCCCATAAGGAAGCAGTTACACAAACATGGAAGTCATCCTATCTGATACAATAACATGTTATTATGTCGGATGAAGTGCACTTGAATGAGCTTTCAATAAGACAAAATGGTGAAAAGGCGGTGCAGAAAAAAGATAGGCGAAGAGTTCTAGGTCTTTCTTCGCATCGAAGGTAAGGTAGCCCTAAAAACTCTAATTCCCTTGACTTTAGTCTACGGTCTGACAAACGAGTTTTTCGTCTGTCTGTCTACAAACATGAAAAAATGGTCATAAGTATTTTATGGATCATTCTCTAACGATGCAAGAATTGTTATAGTACAAGTAAAAGCAGATGAGGAAAAGTAGTCAGGGTGGATGAGACTAGTAAACAGCATTTTGAGATAAAAATGAGCTAAGCATCCTTTCTGTTCTCAGCGTTATAGGTAGCGCTAGTGAACGGTACGATTAATATCTTTTGAGAAATTAGCAAGAAAATACCCTAGTGAATGTACTCAGGTGTGAGTACTCAAAAAGTACCCTGCTAGAAAAATCGGACGAGTACTCATACATACTCATACATTTTTTTACTCACTGAGTACTCACCTGAGTACTCATGGGTGAATAACAAGTACTCCGAGTACGACTTTGAGTACTCATACCACTTTCGGCAAAATACTCATGAGTATTGCTCATCGATATTTTCATATAGAGGAGTGATTTCAGGTAGCCAGAGTAGGACTACAAGTCTAGTCATAGACAAGTCTATCTCTGACTATATAAAGAGAGACCAGTGAGAAAATGATAATATAAATATTCTGTGTTTCTTCACTAAATTCTACATTCTTT